CCCGCACCATCTCCGTTTTGCTCGGTTTTACAACCTTGCCACCACCGGGAGGCGGCCAGGGATCATAGACTCGGTCGAGAGACCCCAGATTGGCATCCATGCCTTTCTGGACAGGGTGGCCCGCCACAAGGACCCCAGGAATTGCGACTCGCCGCTTTCCTCCCGCTGTGATTCTGAATTTCTGTGTGAGCTCTGTGTCTTGACTATGACTTGCCAACAACAAACCTATAACTAAGATGAGCGCCCACGCATGCGGATGCGCGTCTGCGCCCAGATACGTGTCTTCGTGTGTGTGGGCGCTCATCTTGAGTAAGGCTCGCGCCTACACGTGTAAAAAATATGTACTGGAACTAACTTGAACTTTGCCATACGCGATACGGCTTTATCGCATATGCCAATAACTAACTTGTGACGAGCCGTGTCTAGTAGTATAATAGTATAGGATTATAAAAATCGGGCACAAGTTGCGTCTTGTGAGCTAGTACACTCGCAGTCACGCAAGTGAAAAGAAAAACAGATGATTTATTTAGGTGAATCTTAACCCCTAAACGGCTACCGAATTGGGCCAGGTACCAATTTTGTCGAATTTATTTCAAAATCTGCAGGCGCGGAGCGCCTGCGAAAATTTTGAAGAAATTTGCAGTCGGGCCTGATTTTCATCAAGATCTTTCAAATTTGCGGTGTGGAGTTGGGGGGTGGGTTAGGTTAGGGTTATTAGGGTTAGAGGGTTAGGGATAGGGTTAGGGTTAGGGTTAGGGCTAGGGTCAGGGTTAGTCTGGTTGTGTCTGTATATGCCAGCGTTGCAGGGTTCTGCGCTGGGATCTGGCCCCACAGCGCCGACGACTAAGACTCAGCCCCACACGCTGACCTAGGGTTAGGGTTAGGGTTAGGGTTAGGGCTAGGGTTAGGGTTAGGGTTAGTCTTCTTGTGTTTGTATGCCAGCGTTGCAGAGTTCTGCGCTGGGATCTGGCCCCAGCGCCGACGAGTAAGACTCAGCACCGCACGCTGACCCCACCAAATGCCGCCTCAGGGCGCCAGGCCGCCAGCCACTTCTTACACGCGGCCGGCGCCCTCTCGCGGGAACTCGCGGCAAAAGGGTCGAGCGAGAGGGCAGCGTCGCGATGTCTGCGCACCCGCGTGCCGATGGGCGGCACACGCAATCGAGAGAGGCCCTGTCGCGCCGCCAGTAGCGTTCTCCGCACTCCCCACGCCACCAATTGCCGCCTCAGGGCGCCAGCCACCTCTTACACGCGGCCGGCGCCCTCTCGCGGCAAAAGGGTCGAGCGAGCGGGCAGAGTCGCGCGATGTCTGCGCACCCGCGTGCCGATGGGCGGCACACGCAACCGAGAGAGGCCCTGTCACGCCGCCAGTAGCGTTCCGCACTCCCCACGCCACCAATTGCCGCCTCAGGGCGCCAGCCACCTCTTACACGCGGCTGGCGCCCTCTCGCGGCAAAAGGGTCGAGCGAGCGGGCAGAGTCGCGCGATGTCTGCGCACCCGCGTGCCGATGGGCGGCACACGCAACCGAGAGAGGCCCTGTCACGCCGCCAGTAGCGTTCCGCACTCCCCACGCCACCAATTGCCGCCTCAGGGCGCCAGCCACCTCTTACACGCGGCCGGCGCCCTCTCGCGGCAAAAGGGTCGAGCGAGCGGGCAGAGTCGCGATGTCCCTGCGCACCTGGGTGTTCGCCGCCTATATGCTCTATCCTGTGCCAAGACGGACACATTTTGACAATCAAAATCTACCTCAAAATTTGCGGCCGCCCCTCGAAATTTGCTGATCAAAATTTGCGGTGGCCCGGATCGAAACCTGTACTTTGGCCAACTACCGAAACGGGGTGCCCGGAAGGGCGATATCACGGCGGCCTAACTGTGCCTCCGTGCGCTCGCCACATACCCCCTGCTGCCCGAGGGTCGTGTTAGTACTTTATTGGGCACATACAGAGGCGGTGGGAAGCCACCACGTTCCCTTCAAATTTTCCGCCACAGAGCTCCGGAGCGCGCTCTGCACGAGCTCCTGGGACGCGGTTTCGTCTTTCGATCCCAGACGGTCGTCGCACGTCGGCGCCCCTGAGGTCCGCTGTCATAGGTGTAGCACGCTACTAGACACACTGCCTCCAAGTTGAGCGGTGGAAAATTGTGACGAAGCCACGCACCGAAGCGCCGGCGTCCCTCTGGCAATCTGCCACCGACAGCAACACGCCTTTGATCACCGGCTGCTTGCGCTCCGCATACTCTCCAGAAGCTGTTGGTTGTGTGGCTGGTGCTACTTCTATCAGCCTTCCTCATGCACAATGTTGCCGTTGAGCTACGAGGCTGCAACCCGTCGTCATTTGAGTTTGCTGCCAGCCACACACAGCGCGTTCCTGCTGCACGAATGGTTGGACAGGTGTGAACAACACCTCGTGGGGGCGGCACCGCAGGCGTCCATTGAGGGGTCCAGGTGATAGCCCTGGGCGGGCAATCCATACGCCTAGTTGGGCTTCAGATCGCCCGATCGCGTCCCGGTGAACTGACGTCGGATTTGTGACGCCGCCGCACCGCGCCGCGGCCGGGGGCCCTCTGGAGGCTGAGGATGGCCGTGGCGGACCTAGACGAGCTCTGGGAGGTAAAGTGTTAGTGTATATATTGTAGAGGCTGACCACGTGCACAATATCTCTCACTCTAGCTAAGCCAGGGGAGGCTATTCTGGGCGTCCACACGGCTTGCACCGGTGACCCTCGCGACAAAGCGAGCGCGTCCGGCAGAGCGACTGAAGAATCGAGGACAGAGTCACAAATTCCCGCTTGTTGTGCATGTTTTGAGGTCGGACAGTGCTGCTGTCTTCTCCACGCAGCAGCCGACGCCACCAGGCCTCGGCAGCTGAGCAGCAGGAGCCTCCTCGCTGCTGGCAGAGTTGCGCCTCTGTTTGCCGCCGCTAAGAGATCGCTGTTGCGGGAATCCAGGGAATCTAAAGGAATCTAGAATCTGTGGGTCCGAGATTCGATCTGGGACCTGAGCCGCTCGGGACCAGCTGCACATGACCCGGGGCCACTGCCATGTCGCAGAGACGACTGCTGGATCGGCCGTCGCTCCGACCAGCCGTCCTGCAAAGGAATAAAATAAGACGGCGTTCCTACGTGACAGGAACGCCGTTTAGGGGTTAAATCTTATGTGCAACGCACTCACACTGACACACCGCACACACACGCACGCACTGCGGATTTCAAGTCGGTGCTTACCATGCCTCACACGGACGCACAGCCAGTCACACACGGGTGACACACACACGCAAAGCATAGTACATGGTACATGGTACACGGTCCCTCCCCGGCGCGGGAAGCCGCCACACGAAACCCGGTGCACCTGAA